GCGACAGATCAAAACTCTGTCTCAAAAAAAAAAAAGATATCTTACTGTTTCTGCTTTTAATTGTACTATTTTTCTGTCTAATCTGAATCTAGGTAGTTTTTTATGTTATATAGAAGGTAAAAGTCATGTATTTATTTTTATATAGGGTTACTATTATAGAAAAAAGTAGAAGTTTTTACTGCTACTCTTTTTAACTTTTTGAATTTGTTAATCAGGTTGTTTCTATTTTGATCACCATCCTTAGTAGTCATTGTTAAAGTACCTTTATTTAGAAAATTTAGAATCAATGAGCTTCAAAAGGATCATCAATCCTTCCTGACCTTTTCTGCTTAGGTTCAGAGTTATCCACTAATGCTGTTGAATTCTAGGGATATAAGTTTGTGAACAAAATGTGTAAAACTACTACACTCCTTCTATTATGTTACCTTTCTGTGTATAGTAATTCTTGTTTTTTCAATGGTCATACTTCATTCTTCTAAACAGCTATAAACATAGAAACAAAATCTTTTGAGATGTCTCAAAATAGATATAGTTTACATTGGAAAGACCTTTCCCAGTCTACTTATTCTATATTTTATCAAAGTCTAAAAAGTTTTAGCGTTGTGTTTTTCTTTCCGAAGTTTTCTTTTTAAAAGTTATTTATTTCTCTTGAGTATCCTCCGTAACAACCAAGTTAAATCGTTTAGATTGAAGCATCCAGTTTGAAAGGCAGCAGGTACACTGACAGACTGAAGGTGACAGCCTGAAGGAGGAGATAGGAAAAAATAGTAAAAGCAAGTAAAAAAGGAAAACATCCAGCATTTGGAGATATATTCTTTTCAGTCAATCCTGAAGACATTAACTCAGTGATCAAGAAAAATATTTTTCATTGGCCGGGCGCGGTGGCTCACGCCTGTAATCCCAGCACTTTGGGAGGCCGAGGCGGGTGGATCACGAGGTCAAGAGATCGAGACCATCCTGGTCAACATGGTGAAACCCCGTCTCTATTAAAACTACAAAAAATTAGCTGGGCATGGTGGCACGTGCCTGTAATCCCAGCTACTCAGGAGGCTGAGGCAGGAGAATTGCCTGAACCCAGGAGGCGGAGGTTGCGGTGAGCCGAGATCGCGCCATTGCACTCCAGCCTGGGTAACAAGAGCGAAACTCCGCCTCAAAAAAAAAAACAAAAAAAAAAAAAAAAATATTTTTCAGTCATACTAATTAGAAATACAGACATCAGGCTGGGCACGGTGACTCACACCTGTAATTCCAGCACCTTGGGAGGCCAAGGTGGGCAGGTCACAAGGTCAGGAGTTTGAGACCAGCCTGGCCAATATGGTGAAACCCCGCCTCTACTAAAAATACAAAAATTAGCCAGGTGTGGTGGGTGCCTGTAGTCCCAGTTACTGGGGAGGCTGAGGCAGTAGAATCACTTGAACCCAGGAGGCGGGGGTTGCAGTGAGCTGAGATTGCCCCACTGCACTGCAGCTTGGGCGACAGAGTAAGACCCTCTTTGGGAAAAAAAAAAAAAGAAAGAAGTACAGACATGAAAATACATCGGAAATATTTACTTTGAGTTTTGATAAATGTCTAATATTGTATCACGTTTGTGTATTAAATTTGTCTCATCGTAGAAAACTATTTTGTTCTGGTTGTTACCATGAAAAAAAAAGCACCAATTGCTGATGCTGTACAACTGAAGATAGCAAGTGTCAATAGGCTAGACTACCTTAATTCTAGGGCTGAGGATTTTATGTACATATATGTATTTAAAATTGACACATATGTTTTTATATTTAAGACTTCATTTTTTTAACAGCAGTTTTAGACAGCAAAATTGAGAGGAAGGGACAGAAATAGCTCATGTAGCCCTTTCCCCCACAAATGTAAAAAAATTTTTTAAAAATTCATCAGTAGCTTTATTTTGGCTTTTTAAAAAGATGTAACTTGCATAGCATAAAATTCACCCTTTTATACAGTTCAGTGTCAGTATATTTGCAAATCCTGATACTTTTTTAAAAAAAATGTTATTGTGCCAGGCGCAGTGGCTCAAGCCTGTAATCCCAGCACTTTGGGAGGCCGGGGCGGGTGGATCACGAGGTCAAGAGATCGAGACCATCCTGGTCAACATGGTGAAACCCCGTCTCTACTGAAAATACAAAACATTAGCTGGGCATGGTGGCGCGTGCCTGTAATGCCAACTACTCAGGAGGTTGAGGCAGGAGAATTGCCTGAACCCAGGAGGCGGAGGTTACGGTGAGCCAAGATCTCGCCGTTGCACTCCAGCCTGGGTAACAAGAGCTAAACTCCGTCTCAAAAAAAAAAATGTTATTGTGTATATTTACGGTATATAATATGATGTTACAGGATACCTATAGATGGTAAAAAGGTTGCTACAAATTAACATATCCATTATCTTACATACTTTCTTTTGTTTCTGTGGCAAGAGCAGCTACAGTTTACTCATTTAGCATGAATACCATATACAGTACAATTTTATTGCCTATTGTCCTCACATGGTACCTTAGATCTCTAGACTTGTTCATCTTACATATCTGCTACTTTGTATCCTCTGACCCATCTCTGTCCATTTCCTCCTACTCTACCCCTATTAACCATTATTTTTAAGTTCTTTATCTCTGTGAGAGGTTATACTTATAAGTGATGTCATAAACTATTTTTCTTTCTGTGTCTGGCTTATCACATAGCACAGTGTCCTCGGCTCATTCATGTTGTGGCAAATGGCAGGATCTCCTTTTTAAAGACTGAATAATACTCCATCATAGATATGTACCACAATTTCTTTTTCCATTTGTCAGGTTGTTTCCATGTCTGGCTATTGCAAATAATGCTGCAGTGAACATGGGAGTAAAGATACCTTTTCCAGGTGGTGACTTCACTTCCTTTGGCTGTATGCCAAGAGGGATTGCTAGCCTGTGTGGTAGTTCTATTTTTAATTTGTTTATAAACCTCCATACTGTTTTCCACAGTGACTGTACTAGTCTACATCTGCACCAGCAGTATACAAGAATTCCCTTTTCCAACACCCTTGTTAACCTTTGCTATTTTTTTTTTACTTTTTTATAATAGCCATTCTAACAGGTGTGAGTTGGTACCTCATAGTGGTTCTGATTTGCATTTCTCTGATGATTAAAGCCTAATACACTTGTAAGGAAACATTTTTTTCTTAAGTATTTTTTTCTTAGCTGTTTGTAAGTCTTTGCTTTTGCCCATGTGATGACTACTGACTACTTCCTATCTTCCTCTTGCATTGTTGTTGTTTTTTTTTGTTTGTTTTGTTTTTTTGTTTTTTTTTTTTTTTTTGTTGTTTTTTTTTTTTTTTTTTTGAGACAGCATCTTGTTCTGTCACCAGGATGGAGTGCAGTGGTGCAGTCTTGGCTCACTGCAACCTCCCACTCCTGGGTTCAAGCAATTCCCCTGCCTCAGCCTCCTGAGTAGCTGGGACTACAAGCACTGGCCACCATACCCAGCTAGTTTTTTGTATTTAGTAGAGACAGGGTTTCGCCATGTTGGCCAGGATGGTCCCCATCTCCTGACCTCATGATCCACCCGCCTTGGCCTCCCAAAGTGCTGGAATTACAGGCATGAACCACCACGCCTGGCCCTCTTGCATTCTTTAAAATTTATATTCTCTTTGATTCTGGTCTAATGTCATATCTCTTTTGGGAAGGCATTCCTGATTCCTCATGCATTAGTTGCCTTCTCTGCTCTGGGCTCCCACAGTCCTTTGTTTATTCCATTATTATGTTGCTTATCACATTTATATTGTAATTATCTCTTTTGTTGTTGTTGTTGGAGAAAGAGTATGGTTCTGTTGCCCAGGCTGGAGTGCAGTGGCACATTCTGGGCTTACTCCGACATCTGCCTCCCAGGTTCAGGTGATTTTCGTGTCTCAGCCTCCTAAGTAGTTGGGATTACAAGTGTGCGCCAACACTCCCAGCTCATTTTTGTACTTTTAGTAGAGACTGAGTTTCACCTTGTTGGCCAAGCTGATCTCAAACTCCTGGCCTCAAGTGATCCTCCTGCCTTAGCCTCCCAAAGCGCTGGTATTACAGGCATGAGCCACCGAGCCCAGCCATGTATCTCTTTGTCTTCCCTTTCAGACCACTTATCTGAAACAAGATCTTGTTTCAGTCTCTGTCCTAGGACTGTTCTTGTTTTTCACTATCCTCAGGACCTAGAACATGCCTGGTATGGAAGTCTTTTCGGTACATAGCTTTTGAATGATTATAGCCACAGATAGTTACTGCCGTCCTTAAGTCTTAAGCGTAAACCGAGAGCTTGGTATACTATATGGAGTGGTGAATATTAAAATAATTTGCTTTTTGTAAGCTGGGATCATACCATTTTAGTGTTAGAAGGTACCTGAAGTATTATCTAGTCCAGTCTTTCCCCATTTAACACATACACACACCACACACCGCACACACACACACACACACACACACACATATTTATATATACTTTCACATGTTCACATGAAGCAAATTGAAATCCATAAAGGTTGGGTGACAGTAGTGAAGTTAGGACTAAGAATTCATGTTTCCTCATTTTTTTCCTGTACCATTCTGTTTTCTCTGACACCTTATAATCTATTCTGAGGATTTACGGTGTAAATTCATTTATTTCCTAAAGTTTAGGGGGAAAAAGAACTCTGAAAATGTTAGTTTAATTTGTATTGTTACCCTTTTAACTATAAGTTAGGCACCATTGCCAACCAGAATATAGGTTAAGTATCCAAATCTGAAAATCTAAAATCCTAAGTGCTCTAAATATAAAACTTTTTGAGCATTAATGTAAAGCACAAAGGGAATGCTCACTGGAACATTTCAGGTACCAGATTTTCAGATTTGGGATGCTGAAGTAATAAGTATCTTAAAAATCTGAAATCCAAAACACTTTTGGTCCCACATGTTTTAGGTAAGGGACACTCAACTTGTACTGGAAAAGAAATTTTAAATTTAATGTTTAAAAAGTGACAATATATTTCTGTTTTATAGACCTCCGTGAGTGAAAGCCTTCAGAGGGAAGCTGCTAAGAAGCAGGCCATGAAACAGGTAAGGTAGAAGACTGGGATAAGTGCACTGAGTGAAGCATTTTGACTCATTTTTAAGTATCAGTTTTGGTATCTGAGTGCTGAGACTAAAACAGTAGGTTTAAGGAAAAACACAATGAAGAATTAGCTTCTCATTGCTGTGCTATAGAGTAAACTAGTTCTACTTATAGATTAGTCTAATAATGGATTGTTTGACTTGTTATTTATTAAATTGTTGCTAGTGAGCTTACTTGGAAAAAAAAAATCTTTTCACAACCAAAGTGATTTCACAGACTTATAATTATTTGAAGTTCATCTACCAAGAAAGAGGAATATCAGTTTTTTGGGTTTTTTTTTGTTGTTGTTGTTGTTGTTGTTTTGAGACAGAGACTGGCTCTGTTACCCAGGCTGGAGTGCGGTGGCGCACTCTTGGCTCACTGCAATCTCTGCCTCCCTGGTTCAAACAGTTCTCCTGTCTCAGCCTCCCTAGTAGCTGGGACTACAGGCACACACCCCACCATACCCCACTAATTTTTGCATTTTTAGTGGAGATGGGTTTTCTCCATATTAGCCAGGCTGGTCTCGAACTCCTGACTTCGGGTGATCTGCCCAACTAGGCCTCCCAAAGGGCTGGGATTACAGGCATGAGCCACTGCACCTGGCCTGATAATTTTAATAGACATGCTACTACCTTAGTGTTTCCAAGTACTTTTTACATACATTTATCTTTTACAATTCTCCTAAATTTGCCTATGGTCCTAATTAAGAAATCTGAAACTCAAAAATGCTAAAGTGCTCCTTATGATAATACTACTAATTATAGAAGTAGGCCTGAAGGTTTACTAATTTTTCTGCTTCTCCGCTAGTGTATCTTAGATTTTCTGCTGTAGAATGTAATGAAATTAAACAATAACAAGGTGCTTTTCTTTTTCATTTTAAATTCTTTATCCTTCACATTAGCTTTACCATTTTTGGTCCTATTTCCTTTTTGTCTAACTGGAAATCTGCATAAAGATAAGTTTATTAAGCACTTTCTATGTGCCAGGCATTATGACAATTTCCTTTTAAGAATGATTTTTAATTCTTACAATAATTCTATGAGATATATGCTTTTATAATCCTTATTTTATAGTTAAAGAAATGAAGGCAAGAATTTATGTGACTTTCATGAGATCACATAGTTAATAAATGCTAGGGTTTTGTTCAAAACTAGACAGTGAAATCTCAGAGTCTAAGCTTTTAACCAGTGTGTTTTACTCCTTCCCTGAGGAATTGTCACAGAAGTATATAGTCATTTTAAGATAATGTCATAGTTTCACAGTGAAATACAATGTGTAACTCAGCAGCCTCAGAATGATTAAATATACACACAGAACATGAAAAAACTGATTATTTAACGTAAATACTGGAGTGCTTCGAATCAGAATTTTGGAAAGACCATCAAGTTCAGCTTCCTCGCTGTATAAATGGGAGACTTAGTTCTGGAGAGTTAGGTGACTTTTCCAAGGTAATACATGTATCTTGTTTTCTAGGGTTATTTTAACATTTTTGTGCTGCCTTTTCTTCTTCATTTAACGCATGAATCCCAAATCTGCTTTTATTCTTAACTCTGTCTTGTTCAAAGCCACTTTATCTGTTTAGTAAGACTTTTTCATAGTTTGCTTGGAAATTGGAAATGCTGCTACAACTCTTATACCTTTCACCTGCCTTCTGCTGCTTTTTTCTTGCACCTATATTTCATACTCTTCCCTTTGTTCCCCACTTGGTTGATTCAGCTCGTCAAATGCCTTCATCCATACTAATTGAAACTATTCATTTTACTATGAAGAATACTAGCTTGATTGCATTTGCTAAATCTTAGAGAAAGTGCTCTTTGAAATGCGGTACTTTATTATTTTCTTCTTGTATCTGGACCTCAAGTGTACAGAAGTGACAATGGCAACATTATTGTCATATTCCGTGTTTCATTGGGAAAATTTTTAGCATGTTATCAGTAAATATGACATTTGCTGTAGGTCTCTTGTTGCTAATCTAAGGAAATTATTTTCTTAGTTTAAGGGTTTTGTTTGTTTCAATGGTGAGCTATATACAAAAAGGATATTACTTCATGACCATGTTGGTTTGATACCAGTAATGTAAGGTCAGCGTAACTTTAGAAGGTCAATCGTTGTAACTTCACAGAAGTGGTATAAACCTAACAAAAGCATAAAATGTTATCCTTCTTATATATTGTTGCATATGGCTTACTAAAGTTTTATTAGGTGTTTTTAAGTATTGAGGATTTTTACATCATAAGTGAGATTCAACAGAATAGGGTAGTTTCCTTTTTCTTTCACTGTAATTATCCAGATTGAAAAAGCCTGATAATACCAAGGTTTGGCTAGCCTTATACAATGAGCTAATATAATACTATATACATGTTGCTTTTTCTAGTTCATTTTCTGTCCTGACAGATTCGTGTTTTCTTCATTCTGTTTTCTTCATTCTATTTTCTTTGGGTTTATTTTGTTATTTTTCTAACTTTTGGAAATGGGTGCACAGCTCTCTGTTTTCTATTCTTTCTCTTTTCTAATATATGCATTTAAGGCTGTATGTTTCCCTCTAAGTACTTCTGTAGCTGGATCTTACAGATTTTGATAGGCAGTATTTTCATTGTTTCATGAAAAATGTTTTCTGGTTTGCATTAAGATTGCTTGCTTGACCCATGTATTATTAATTTCTGAACATATGGAGGTTTTTGATTACCTTTTTGTTAATCATTCCTAACATGATTACTTTGATTTTTTGGGGGTGTTTTGTTTTGTTTTTGAGATGGAGTCTCACTCCGTCACCTAGGCTGGAATACAGCACGATCTCGGCTGGCTGGAATACAGCACAATCTTGGCTCACTGCAACCTCTGCCTCCTGAGTTCAAGCGATTCTTCTGCCTCAGCCTCCTGATAGCTGTGTTTACAGGAGTACACCACCATGCCCAGCTAATTTTAATATTTTTAATCGAGACAGGGTTTCACTGTGTTGGCCAGGCTGGTCTCAAACTTCTGACCTCAGGTGATCTGCCTGCCTCAGCCTCCCAAAGTGCTGGAATTACAGATGTGAGCCACCACACTTGGCCCCTAACATGGTTACTTTGGATGCCAAAACATGGCGCTGTATTGTTTCATGCCTTTTAAGATGTAGAGGTTTACTTTATGGTCCAGTTTACAGTCAGTTTTTATAAATATTTCCTCTGTGTTTGAAAATGTTCTGTATTGATATAAAAATTAGCCCGACCTGGTGGTGTGCACCTGTAGTCACAGCTTAAACAGTTTAAAACAGCCCTCAGTCTCCCTTTTCCCTTGCTTTTTGTTATTGTAGTGGTGATTATTTCTTAGATTCCATGTTTCCCTCTTTGTGTTATCCAGGCTGATTTTGCAGAGGGAGCAAGAGTGCCAATTCATAATATCTGGGCAGGAAAATCTTTATTTTTCTAAAGGTTGAGAAGTGAAAATAATGAATTTCTTAATATTTTAAACAATATTCTAGAAAAAAAAGTTTTTCAGTTAGCGTGTGCATTGTTCAGAGTTTAAATGTTGGTATGTAAAAACCCAAGTCTATCAGATAGATTCTTTTGAATAATTTTGGATCACTTAAAAGGGATCCCTCTTGGATTCTATGTTAGACAATGTAGCAATTCAGAAAGAAGTTAAAATGTGTGGATTGTGTACCTCAGGAATTTACAAACTGGGGCAAGAGGCTAAGATTTGTGAAACAATTAGAAAGTTAAAACATCCATGATTGGCATGGTGGCTCAGGCATGTAATCCCAGCATTTTGGAAGGCTGAAGTGGGAGGATCATTTGAGCCCAGGAGTTCAAGACCAGCCTGAGCAACATGGTGAAACTCTGTCTCTACAAAACATATAAAAATTAGCCAGGCATGGTGGCACACGCCTGTAGTCCCGGCTACTTGGGCAGCTGAAATGGGAGGACCGCTTGAAGCCTGGGAGGCAGAGGATGCAGTGAGCCAAGATCATGTCGCATACTCCAGCCTGGTGACAGAGCGATACTCCATCTGTTTAAAAAAAAAAAGTCTAGTGTATTAATTAAGAGTTAAATATTGCAGAATAGAATGTTCCTCAGAGTTTAGAAGAAAGATCATTGGGGGTTAGAGGCCTCAGAAATGTGCTCATATGAGAAGTAGGGCTGGCCCTGAAACACTGGATAAGATTTTGATAGCTTGAAAGAGGAGGAAAAAACATCATTTAAGATAGGAGGAACATACATGATAAAGGCAGAGAGTTTATGTCTGACAACTCCAAAAATGATAATGAAAATTTAATATATAATACAGGCCTTTTAAAACCAGGGTTAGGTGTGTCTGTGGTACATTGGACCTTTTGACCTTTTGATGTTGAGATTTATATACAAACGAATAGATGATAATAATAGTTGACGTCACGGTGAAACCCCGTCTCTACTAAAAATACAAAAAATTAGCTGGGCATGGTGGCGCGTGCCTGTAATCCCAGCTACTCAGGAGGCTGAGGCAGGAGAATTGCCTGAACCCAGGAGGCGGAGGTTGCGGTGAGCCGAGATCGCGGCCATTGCACTCCAGCCTGGGTAACAAGAGTGAAACTCCGTCTCAAAAAAAAAAAAAAATAATAGTTGACGTCTATTGAATACTTATTCTCTATCAGGGTCTAAGTATTGTAAGTTTAATCATTTAATTATAACAGCTTAGAATTTAAATATAATCATTATTCTTTCTCTTCTAGATGAGGAAAATTAAGGCACAAAAAGATTATAAACAAACTTGCCCAGAGTAATTAGTAAGTGTAAAGCCAGGATTCACACCCAGGTGCTTGGCTCCATAATTTACATTCACATTTCCTATCTAAAATATAATTGTAATTTTTATGATATATTTTCAATTTATGAACCATTCTCAAAAAACATAGACTTTGTGGTATCTATTGGCTGGCTCATATTTTTGAAACATATTTAATTTTTTTTTAAAGACCAAACTGGAAATCCAGAAGGCCCTTGCAGAAGATTCTACTGTATATGAATATGACAGTATTTATGATGAAATGCAGAAACAAAAGGAGGAAAATAATCCCAAATTGCTTTTGGGGAAAGACCGAAAGGTTTGTAAGCTGAAATAACAAATTTTCTTTGACCTTGACCTACATTTTGTGTCTTAATCTTATTTTAACATGAGAATGATCTGAGAAAAAGCTTTTAGGTATGTGAAGTGTGAAGAGTCCCTAGTTCCAGGTATTATAGATTTGATCTTAGAACTCAAGAAGCACTACATATATTATCCTAATAGCCCAAGTGAATTATCTAACAGTTTTGTTTTTTGCTTTGAAACCTTTGCAAATAGTTTTTTGAAAATTTTTTCTTAGAAATTCTGATGTACCAAATTTGTACTGCTCCTGCCCTGTGTATGTTTATTTGTGTTTTATTATCCTCTCATTTTTTATTTCTTCCTAACTGGTAACTGAATCATCTGCCCACACCTATCATGATTTTATTTTCAGTGAGAAAAGAATTTGGGAGTGGGAAAAATTGAAATTCAGATTTTTTTTCTATCACCTCCTGTTTTTTCACAAGCACAGGCTGATTTTTAAGGGTATTTGCATCTGACATATCTGTCAGTAGAGTGGTGATACAAAATTATATTAAAGCTACTATTTTAAATCATATTTCTACTAAATGTGAAAAACTAATAGGAACTCTTCTGATTTTTTTAAATTAAGAGAATACCAGAGAAAAGAATGAGAAAAAATTTATATTTAGTTTGATTTTTTTTAAGTTAAATTGCATTATAAATAATTTCTTCTCTGCTACACCTAAATTTTTATTGAAAACAATTTCAATATTCATCTTGCTAGTAAGTTTATATTGAATGTAGGGACGACAATCTTATTTGGGCTGATCATCTCTATCTTAACAAATTCATTATAAAATTATAACAGTAATAACAATTACTATTTTTTTTACTCTTTTCCTAAATCTTTTTTATTTCCTTAGCCCAAGTATATTCACAACTTGCTAAAAGCAGTTGAGATCAGAAAAAAGGAACAGGAAAAAAGAATGGAGAAGAAAATACAGAGAGAACGAGAAATGGAAAAGGGAGAGTTTGATGATAAAGAGGCATTTGTGACATCTGCATATAAGAAAAAACTGCAAGAGAGAGCTGAAGAAGAAGAAAGAGAAAAGAGGGCTGCTGCACTGGAAGGTAAAATGAAAGAGGGGGAGAGGCACAAGGAGACAGTCGTGGAATCTCTACCCTGTGGTTAGCTGTTTACTCTTTCACTGAACTTCTGGGTTATAAGTTTATGATCATAATTTATATATAGGAATCCAAGACTCAAAATATATGGCATTATATAGTAGTGTAAAGCAGAGAGGGAAGTTTAACTAAAAGCACAGTTGAACTCTTCAGTAACTATTATTTCTACTAGACTTTTCCCTTAGTTCTCATTTTGTGGCTGTTGTCTTACAACATGATTTGAAATGTAAAAGCATTTATTACAAAGTATAACACCATAACATTTGTCAGAAACAATATAAATATAATTTTAAACCCTAGTTATATTTTTCCGGGATGAGAAAATAGTAACACCACTCCAGGAGCATCAACGGGACAATTAGAAAAATAATAACATTAATTGAAGAAAGAATAAAAATAGGATGAATTAAGAGTATCTTAATGCATTAGTGCTTTCTACTCATGATGATTTCTCAAGATCTAAGTAGAATATGTATTTATAAAATACCTTTTTTTTTTTTTTTTTTGAGACTGGGTCTTTGTCACCCAGGCTGGAGTGCAGTGGCTCAGCCATGACTCACTGTGGCCTTGACCTCCCAGGCTCCAATGATCTTCCCACCTCAGCCTCTTGAGTAGCTGGGACTACAGGAACATACCACCATGCTTGGTTAATTTTTGAATTTTTTGTAGAGATGGGGTCTCACTATGTTGTCAGGACTAGTCTTGAACTCTGGGCTCAAGCAGTCCTCCTGCCTCAGCCTCCCAAAGTGCTAACATTGTCGGTGTGAGCCACGATGTTCTACAAATACTTTAACAAACTCTCAGCTTTTTTTTTTTTTTTTGGATTTTTTTGAGACAGAGTCTTACTCTGTCGCCCAGGCTGGAGTGCAGTTGTGCGATCGTGGCTCACTGCAACTTCTGCCTCCCAGGTTCAAGTGATTCTAATGCCTCAGCCTCCCAAGTAGGTGGGTTTACAGGTGTGTACTACCACCACCGGATAATTTTTATCTTTTTAGTAGAGGTGGAGTTTCACCATGTTGGCTAGGTTGGTCTCCAACTCTTGACCTCAGGTGATCCACCCACCTCAGCCTCCCAAAATTCTGAGATTATAGGCATGAACCACTGTGCCTGGTCTCTTCAGTTTTTAAGTAGAAGAAAACCCAGTCTATAACATTCTGTCTAAGCATATACTGTGTGTTTAGAGTGCCAGTCGGAAAACTTTCTGTAAAGGACCAGATAATATTTTAGTATTCATATTTTAGGACTTTATAAATTCATATTTATAAATGCCAGATATTATTTATATTTTAGGGCTTTTTTTGGGAGTCTTGCTGTTGTTGTCCAGGCTAGAGTGCAGTGGTGCCATCTCAGTTCATTGCAACCTCCGCCTCCTGGGTTCAAGCATTCTCCTGCCTCAGCCTCCCTAGTAGCTGGGATTACAGGCACCTGCCACCACGCCTGGCTAATTTTTGTATTTTTAGTAGAGATGGGGTTTCACCATGCTGGCCAGGCAGGTCTTGAACTCCTGACCTCAGGTGATCCGCCTGCCTCGACCTCCCAAAGTGCTGGTATTACAGGCTTGAGCCATGGCACCTGGCCAGGGCTTTTTGTATATATGACCTCTGTCACAGTGACTCAGATGTGCCTTTGTAGTACAAAAGCAGCTTTGGACAATGCATAAACAAATGAACAAGGCCTTGTTTCAATAAAAATTTACTTATAAAAACAGGCAACAGGCCAAATTTGGCCTTTAGGATATAGTTTGCCAATTCCTGATCCAGAGAATAGTTTATACACTGCATGTTATATGCATTGCGTCTATAAAATGAAACTGCACTGTGGCTTGATAAATATATTCTAATTTTTACTTTCTCTCTCTTAGCATGTTTAGATGTAACTAAGCAGAAAGATCTCAGTGGATTTTATAGGCACCTGTTAAATCAAGCAGTTGGTGAAGAGGAAATACCTAAATGCAGCTTTCGTGAAGCCAGGTGAGGAGATGTGGTATATGAAATATTTTGAAGAAAGATACTGTTAATAAACTGTTTGTGGGGTCATTTTAACCCTCTGAAAGATGGAAGATTACAGCATTGCATATTGTGTTGTCAGCCAGCATTAACTAAATAAATGAATGTTAGAAATTTGCAGTTTCTTGATTTAAAACCTACAGATTTAGTTTAAGACCATTTTTATTCTGCAGTTCACAGAAATTGTTAAATTAAAACACAGTGATTGAGTTTAATATTATTGTAAAACCAAAGACAGACTTTTAATGTATAAAGTTTCTGAATTTTTAAGTGACTTAGGGGTCTTCTTAAGGGAGAGCAAAATCTTAAGGGAGAGCAAAATCAAACTGTGTTTTTTTCTGAGACAGTCTTACTCTGTCGCCTGGTGGATGGAGTGAGTATAGTGGTTCAATCATAGCTCACTGCAACCTTTATCTCATGGGCTCAAGTAATCCGCCCACTTTAGCCTCTCAGGTAGCTGGGACTACAGACACATGCCACCACGCCCAGCCAATTTTCTTTTTGTTTTTTTTGTTGTTGTTGTTTTTGTTTGTTTTTTTGTTTTTTTTTTTTGTTGTTGTTTTTGTTTTTGTTTTTGTTTTTGTTTTTTTTGGTGAGATGGAGCCTTGCTCTATTGCCCAGGCTGGAGTGCAATGGGGCGATTTCGCTCACTGCAACCTCTGCCTCCCAGGTTTAAGTGATTCTCCTACCTCAGCCTTCAGAGTAACTGGGACTACAGCCGCTTGCCACTACACCCAGCTAATATTTGCATTTTCAGTAGAGATGGGGTTTCACCATGTTGGCCAGACTGATGAATTCCTGACCTCAGGTGATCTGCCCACCTCTGCCTTCCATAGTGCTGGGATTACAGATGTGAGCCCCTGTACCTAGCCACCTTTTTTTAAAACTAAAAATATAGGTATTCCTCATGATCCTTAAAATGATTGGTGCCTAGTACCTTAAAATGATTGCTATCAGAATTAAGAAGAAATTTGGAAAGACTTAGGTGTCTACAATATAAATCTTTATGCACGTTCAGATAGTATATAAAAAGGAAAGTGGTTTATTTTCATAAATAGGACCCAGCCTTCATAAAATGTAAGACTTTACATATCAAGGGCTAGAACCGCACTGTTCAATATGTAGCCACCAGTCATGTGTAGCTACTTAAATTAGTTTAAAGTAAATAAAATAAAAAATTTTTATCACAGTGGCCACATTTCAAATACTCAGTTGCCATATTTGGCTGGTGGTTGCCATTCTGGACATCTCAGATATAAACATTACTATTTCTTGAGGCATTTCTATTAGTGCTGGTCTAGAAGGTAAATGATTAGAGGATTTTTGAATAAAGTTATAAGGTATTATAGGAATGTTGAGATGATTATGTCATAAGTATGTAGCTGAAGGCAAAAAAGTCTTGTCCTAAGCAAAAGAAAATTTAAATGTTCTGAGTAGATCTGAGTCTGTTGCTAAGGAAGGGAAGAGGTAGAAGAATAGAATTAAGGTGAAGAGAGGAAGTTAAGTTTATGCCCCACTCCTTCCCTACACTGCTAGGTTTTGATTACAAAATTGGTGAGAAGTTTGAACCTAAGAAACTGTATTTGAAGATTCAGGTTTTGAATGGAAACTATAATGCATTATGGCTTTGTGTTTGAGTTTCATCTGGAATGTTTATGAGGCTGCCATGAAACTCTGTAATGTTGTTGACGTAGTTGTACTTCTCAGAGTCGAATAATCGAATTCCTAACTGTTAGTGGGTCCTTTAGCCAAGATAGTTCTGCCAGTAATTCCTCGAGAACCAAAGTTGTTGTGCCATTAGTGTGATTAGTAAGAATCACTGAATGATTCTTATTTACATTATACTCACTGTGTGAGTACTATAAATAAAGTTAACTGTACTTGCCACATGGAACCATGTAGGTAATATAATTTTAGTGCTGTTGATTCTGACAAATTAATATATTTCAATTTTGTAGTGATAGGTGCCAAGGAGTGTATCAGGATACTAGTGCCTTTTTCATCATGAGAGAGAGTAAATATTTAGGATTATACTTGCCACATTTTGCTGTGCAAAGATTACCTTCATGTATTTCTAGGACTATTTTTATAATTTTTTTTTAAAAGAAGGAGGCCAGGTGTGGGCTCACTCCTGTAATCCCAGCACTTTGGGAGGCTGAGGTGGGTGGGTCACCTGAGGTCAAGAGTTTGAGACCAGCCTGGCCAACATGGCAAAATCCAGTCTGTACTAAAAATACAAAAGTTAGCCAGGTGTGGTGGTGCAGACCTATAATCCTAGCTACTCGGGAGGTTAAGTTGGGAGGATTACTTGAGCCTGGGAGGCAAAGGTTGCAGTGAACCGAGATTGTGCCGCTACACTCCAGCCTGGGTGACAGAGTGAGACCCTGTCTCTAAATAAATAAATAAGAAAGGAAACGAAAATCCAGGAGTTACAACCTAACCTTCATGTTGGGAAAGTAGAACTTAGATCCAAAACATATCTTCCTTTTCCCAATTATTCTTTGTCTTAGACTTACCAAAAAAGTAAAGACCTGTACAGACCCTTGCCTATAGGTTCTAGCAGACAAGAGCTAATTTTTTCTTTTCACTTCTACAAATATTGAAAATACTGGGAATGGTTCGAATTTGAAAATACTCATTTGCATAGACATCAGCACCTTTTTGCATTTGTATAATCAGACAGTATATATCACTATAGGTGTATTGATTTAAGTATTGAGAAAAATTATATAAACCCTTTATCTGCTTATTACAACTGATAATGTGGCTTTTTTTCTGCCCCTTTTATTCCCTTAAGATCTGGTATAAAGGAAGAGAAACGAAGGGGTTACTCCGATGAAGTAAGTTCAGAAAACAGAATACCACAAGAGAAATACATTCTTCAAGCTGATGTGAAAGTAGAGGAAAACCCAGATGCAGACAGTGACTTTGATGCTAAGAGCAGCGAGGATGATGAAAAAGAAGAAACTACAGTGAATTGCAGAAGAAAAAAGGTCATAGAGACCCCTGAGAATGACTCCAAGCACCACAGGAATCAAAACCACTCTCGGTCGCCTAGTGAAGAAAGAGGGCATGGTGCCAGACACCACACAAAAGGATCACAAACATCGAGAGGACATGAGAAAAGAGAAGATCACCACCAACAGAAGCAATCCAGAGACCAGGAGAACTATTACACTGACCGTGATTACCGGAAAGAAAGAGATTCTCATAGGCACAGAGATGCCAGTCATAGAGATTCCCATTGGAAGAGGCATGAACAGGAAGATAAACCAAGGACGAGGGACCAAAGAGAAAGAAGTGACAGAGAATGGAAAAGGGAGAAAGACAGGGAGAGATATTCCCAAAGAGAACAAGAAAGAGATAGACAACAAAATGATCAGATCCGACACCGTGAGAAAGGAGAGAAGGAAGAGAAAACCAAAGCTAAGGAAGAACATATGAAAGGAAGGAAGGAAAGATATGAAAATAATGATAAATACAGAGATAGAGAAAAAGGAGAAGTAAGTGTTCAGTCTTCAGAAAGACATCGAGACAGAAAGGAAAGCAGCCCAAATTCTAGGGCAAAGGATAAATTTCTTGACCAAGAAAGATCCAACAAAATGAGAAACGTGGCAAAGGACAAAGAAAGAAACCAAGAGAAACTCTCTACTTCTGAACTATCACTGGGAGCAAAACACAGACTCACAGAGGAAAGGCAAGAGAAGGATAAAGAACAAGAGAGACCACCTGAGGCAGTGAGCAAGTTTGCAAAGCGGAACAACGAAGAAACTGTAATGTCAGCTAGAGACAGGTATTTAGCCAGACAGATGGCACGGGTTAATGCAAAGACCTATATTGAGAAAGAAGATGATTGATGGCTACCCCGAGAGAAATATTTGAGGAAACACAGAAAACTCTTAATTCCTGGAACCTGCTGTGTCAACCAGAAAGGAATGTGTTACCAGTAGTTTGGAGGGCATTTTTAAATTTATTTTCAAAAATTTTAGGTTAAACTCAAAAGTCAGTCTAACGTCTTGAATGTTTGGATGTGGATGTTTGGCCGAATTTATATTCAGTATGTACTTATCAATACCACATTCTTTGTTGTATTCAAGAACCATAAGAGTGTGCTAATTCCCTGTAGTTACATATTGAAGAAAATTGGCCCCACTACAGCCATTAAAATTAATTTTGGCCAGATGTGGTAGCACATGCCTGTAATACCAACATTTTGGGAGGCTGAGGCAGAAGGATCACTTAAAGCCAGGCATTCAAGACCAGCCTGGGCAGGATAATTACTCCTTGTCTCTATTTAAAAAACAAGCCCGGCATGGTGTACATGCTTGTAGTCCCAGCTGTGTTTGAGAGGCTAGGCAGGAGGACCACTTGAGCCTAAGAATTTGATGTTACAGTGAGCTATGAACATACCACTGCACTCCAACCTGGGCAACAGAGCAGGACCCTGTTTCTAAACAATTTTTTAAATAAATAATTTAACTATTTTAATAATGTTAGGTTTGTTGCAGGAGCTGTTTGTTTTATAAATATTGTATTGCAGATAAAATGTGCATTGGAACAATAGAAAATATACTTTTATGTTCTGAAATTTGTATTAAAGTGTAAAATGTGAATCCTGCATCTTATCTAAGTAGCTTACAGCATAGTTGGCTTAAATGAAAATAATAGTATGCTTATACATTTTATTAATGCATTTAAAAGTAATTTCACTCATGTCACAATTCATCTGTTTGCTTTTAGTATAAATTAATTTGTAGTTAGTAAATTGGTTGTGCATGTAAATCACTTTTAACTAAAGGTGAAAATGTGTAGACATTTAGCCTAAATGAAATAGCTAAAGGTCCAGGTGAACTATTTCTAAACATGTCTCGTTTTATGTATTCTGAAAAAGATAGTGCAGTTTATTACAAGTTCTACTTGTGTATAAAAATAAAACTAGTATCTTTCTCCTGAGTCTTTGATATTCAGGAGATATAATTACACACTGTAAATATTTTATTTATGGGAAAAGGATGAATGCTGTGGAGAACATAATTCTCTAATAGGTTTTCCCATTAAGAAAGTGCTATTTATATCTCTCACAGTACTTTATCATAAAGAGCACATTTTATTTTTAGAAGGATAAACTTCTAAGTTTAATAAGATTGCTGACTAGATTAAAAACATTGTATATTAAGGGTCAGATTTCACATTCATAAATCATTTTATTGTACCTTTAAAACCAGAAAGGAAAAGTAACAGGAAAGTTAACGCCCAAATCTCTGACTGATTAAATGTCAGTTATATCCTAATACTCTAAAGTCAATCAGTGACAGTAACAAACTCCCAATATCACTGACTTGGTGTACACAAAGGGAGCAACATCACATAAGTCTGGAAAGGTAAGTTAGGTGACATTGTGGAAGGACCTTGAGTGACAGATAAAATCTTTAACTTTGGTGGGGATATGGTTTCTTTGTTAGAATTGTTTTATAACTAGATCCATGCATTGGGAAGATTAATTTGATCATAGCGTGCAAGGTAGTCTAGGAGGGAGAGACTGATGTCAGAGACATCTGATGATAAACTCATTTTCCCTCTCCCAGAGGGAAAAGCTCAGAATCTTTTACAAAGCAGCTTGGATCCTTACGAAAGCTATAAATTACTTTTATTAACCAACTTAATTTGACATAAATCAGTATGAGAGGCTGCAAATTTAAGAGTTTTCTTCTGTCTCCTTCTCCAAATAGAATGTTGATTTTGCCTCTGCGTTCATTCCCCCTTTTCTGGTAACAGCATCTTGTTTTGCCCTTGAGAAAACACACCTTTACTGCTCGTAGTTGGCAGGTTCAAATGGGGCAGAATAGCCTGCAGGAAGGATGTGTGACCCAAGCGAGGCTGATGTGGTCCTATTGTCAAAATTTACAGATGTTTTCTGCTGTCATTACTGATTATGGTGATGAGGTAAGTTTGGAGTTTCATGGGAGAGTGCCTTGCTGCCTGGCAGAAAAAAAGCTCACAAAAAAGCCAAATGGAAGGAAAAAAAAAAAAAAAAACATGATTGCTTTTGCATCTCTGGCTTTAGTGTAGCTTTTTTTTTTTTTTTCTTTTTTTAATTTTTTTGTTAAGATGAGGTTTCACCATGTTGGTCAGGCTGGTCTTGAACTCCTGACCTCAGGTGATCCGCCCATCTTGGCCTCCAAAGTGTTTGGATGACAGGCGTGAGCCACCGCGCCTGGCCCTTTTTAAAAATATATATATTTAAACAAATACTTTTCCCTTTTTCTGGTACGCTAGTTTGAATTGGATTTCTGCCATCACGACCCAAAAAGTCCTATCTGATAGAAGTTTCCATTTATGATAGCTCTATGCCAAAAGTTATCAGAACACTTTTAGTAAACTTTTTTATTGTAACATGTGAAGTGCACACGGAGTTTACAGCGTAATGGATTCACACAGTACACCTGGTTTAAAAAGACGTTCCCTGTGTCATAGAAGCTCCCCTTAAACATCTCCCCACCCTACTCCTGACTCAGCACCATAATTTTGCTTGTTTTCTAGATTCTTTACTAATCCATTCTTTGCTACCATCCATTGATGGACATTGGGTTATTTCTTTTGGGGGTTATGAATAGCAATGTCTTCTAGGTAATAATGTATATTGGAGATACATTCTTTTGCTTATCTTCTAGTAACATTCATGTGTGTTTTGATGGGGTAATTCCCAGGAATGGAGTTGCCAATTCGTAGTCTGTGCACATGTTCGGCTTTAGTGGTTAACTACCAATCAGTTTTCCAAAATACTGGAACTAAAATACACTCCTTTCATCAACGTATGAGAGTTTAGTTACGCCACATCTTACACTTGATATTTGTCTTTTGGCTTTTTGTCTTTTAGCTACTCTGATGGGTGTTGTATCTCATGGTTGTATTTTGTGGTTCTCTGATGGCTGTCTTTATTAACATTTGGGTATCTTGGCGGGGGTTGGAGGTTGTTTTTGAGACAAGGTCTTCCTCTGTCATCCAGGCTAGAGTGCAGTGATGGAATCATGGCTCACTGCAGCCTTGACCTCCCAGGCTGAAGCCGTCCTCCCACTTCAGCCTCCCAAGTAGCTGGGACTACGGCTGCATGCCACGACGCCTGAATAATTGTTTTGCAATTTTTATAGAGATGGGGTTTTCCTATGTTGTCTAGGTTGGTCTCGAACTTCTAGGCTCAAGTCAATCACCTGCCTTGAATTTTGAAAGTGCTGGTATTACAGGCATGAACTGTGTGACACAGTGTGTTTATCTTGTTTTCAATGGTCTGATTCTTTAGTCTCTCTGCTCCCTCCTTTTTTTTTTTTTTTTTTTTTTTTTTTTTGGTTATTTTGTTTTTGTTTTGTTTGTTTGGTGAAGGGGAACTATCTGCCTTTTTTATTGCATTTTAGGTTTTGGGGTACATGTGAAGAACATGCAAGATTGTTGCATAGGTACACACATGGCAGTGTGATTTGCTGCCTTCCTCCCCCTCACCTATATCTGGCATTTCTCCCCATGCCATCCCCCCGCAACTCCCCACCCCCCGCTGTCCTTCCCCTATTTCCCCCTAACAGACCCCAGTGTGTAGTGCTCCCCTCCCTGTGTCCATGTGTTCTCGTTCAACACCCGCCTATGAGTGAGAACATGCAGTGTTTGATTTTCTGCTTCTGTGTCACTTTGCTGAGAATGATGGCTTCCAGATTCATCCATGTCCCTACAAAGGACACGAACTCATCGTTTTTGATGGCTGCATAATATTCTATGGTGTATGTGTATGTGGCACATTTTCCCTCTCCAGTCTATCATTGATGGGCATTTGGGTTGGTTCCAGGTCTTTGCTATTGTAAACTGTGCTGCAGTGAACATTCGTGTGCATGTATCCTTATAGTAGAAGGATTTATAATCCTTTGGATATATACCCAGTAATGTTGTTTGTCTTTGTAACTGCAAAAATTTTTTCCCATTCTGTTGGTTGCCGATTCACTCTAGTGACTGTTTCTTTTGCCGTGCAGAAGCTGTGGAGTTTTATTAGGTCCCATTTGTCTGTTTTGGCTTTTTTTGTCAGTGCTTTTGGTGTTTTGGTCATGAAGTCCTTGCCTACGCCTATGTCCTGAATGGTTTTGCCTAGATTTTCTTCTAGGGTTTTTATGGTGTTAGGTCTTATGTTTAAGTCTTTAATCCATCTGGAGTTAATTTTAGTGTAAGGTGTCAGGAAGGGGTCCAGTTTCTGCTATCTGCCTTTTTGCTATCTGCCTTTTTCTTAATCTAGTACAAGTTTTGTTTGTTGTTTGTTTTGAGAGTTTCGCTCTTGTTGCCCAGGCTGGAGTGCAATGGCACAATCTCAACTCACTGAAACCCCTGCCTCCCAGGTTCAAGCAATTCTCCTGCCTCAGCCTCCCGAGTGGCTGGGATTACAGGCATACGGCACCACGCCGGGCTGATTTTGTATTTTTAATAGAGACGAGGTTTCTCCGTGTTGGTCAGGCTAGTTTCAAACTCCCAATCTCAGGTGATCCATGTGCCTTGGCTTCCCAAAGTGCTGGGATTACAGGCATGAGCCACCTCGCCCAGCCCCGGTACAGGTTCTTCATATATTCTAGATATGAGTTGTTTGTCTTTGTAAGGAACTTCTCCCTCCCCTTAATGGTATTTTTAATGAACAGATATCTCTAATTTTACAAAGTTAATTAAAATTAATAAAGTTTAAAATACAGTTCCTCAGTTGCATTAGATATTTCAAATGCTCAACATGTGACTAGTGGCTGCCACATAGGACAGTGCAGGTTTACAGAACATTTCTATTGCAGAAAGTTATATGGACAACACTCTTCTAGAAGCATTACTGTCTACATTTCCCATTTAGATCTGCAATGCACTTGGAATTTTTGTGTGTGGTGTAAGATAGGGATTAAGATTTAATTTTTTTCCATATGGATATCAGACTCAGCAGTAAAGACACCCAGGCTGGAGTGCAGTGATGCGATCTCAGCTTACTGCAACTTTTGCCTCTTGGGCTCAAGCAATTCTCCCGCCTCAGCCTCCCAAGTAGCTGGGATTACGGAAGTGCACCACCACGCCTGGGCAATTTCTGTATTTTTAGTATAAATGGGTTTTTGCCACATTAGTCAGGCTGATTTTGAACTCCTGGCATCATATGATCTACCTGCCTCAGCCTCTCAAAGTGCTGGGATTACAGGCGTGAGCCACTGCACCCAGCAGCAACAATAATTTTTGTGTGCTACTGGTAATAGGTGAACTGGTACAACCTTTTTGGGAAAAGTTTGGCATTAGCTAGTAACTGGCACTGCATGTTCCCTCTAACTCATGTTCCACAGATGCACCAGTAATATCTATAATACGTTTTTCATAAATGACAACCTAAATGTCCATTAGTAGTAAAGAATATATAGCTGGGCATGGTGGCTCACACCTATAATCCTAGCACTTAGGCAGAGGTGGGCAGATTGCCTCAGCTCAGGAGTTTGAGATCAGCCTGGCCAACAGCGAAATCCAGTCCCTACTAAAAATACAAAAAATTAGCTGGATGTGGTGATGCGTGCCTGTAATCCCAGCTACTCAGAAGGCACGAGAATTGCTTGAACCCAGGAGGTGGAGGTTGCAGTGAGCTGAGATCACTCCATTGCACTCCAGCCTGGGCAACAGAGCAAAACTGTCTCAAAATTAGATATATAATATGTATATAATATATATATATGTATAATTACACACAGGCAATACAACAGATGAATACGCTATAGCTATACCCAACTTGGATGAATTTCACAGCCTTGTGAGAAGTATATATAGGGGGATAAAAGGCAAAACTATTAAAAATACATGGGTAGGTGGTAAAAGGGGTCATAAATATGGAAAGAGCAAATTAGAATGAACTTTGTAGTGCCAGGTTGGAATTGGAGATACTGGTGTGAGTTCATGATTTTCAAGATAGAGAAATAACTGTTAAATGCAGATTATGTATACACACACTTCTGTCCAGTGAGGGGGCTGGGGATCAGTGACTACTCAGTAGCCATGAGAATGCCTAATACCTAGATTGAGATTTCTAAATATGCTCTTGACTGAAAGGAACCAGGGCTTCCTGTAGATAAAACTGATTTCAGAGCTGTGGCAGAGAAAGTACAAGCTGGTCCTGAAACATCTCACTCGGAAGAAGTTTTCCAAGAATGATAGGGACACGTCAAAAGCACAGAGAAACCAGCTTGAAGAGACTCTCACTGGCTAAATATGGGACAAATAGAGCATCAAAATAAATAATGGAGGCAGCTGCTGTGGTTCACACCTGTAGTCCCAGCACTTTGGGAGGATTGCTTGAGCACAGGAGACCTGTCTGGGCAACATGGTGAAACCCAGTCTCTACACACAATATAAAAGTTAGCCAGGCATTGTGGTGCATGCCTGTGGTCCCAGATACTCAGGACGCTGAGGCAGGAGAATCACTTGAGCACAAGAGATCGAGGCTGCAGTAAGCCGTGACTGCACCACTGTACTCCAGCCTGAGTGACACAACGAGATTCTGTCTCAAAAAAATGAATGAATGAATAGACTATCATCCATTGGATAAAACAGGCATCCATTTTTAAAAAATAAATGAAAGCTTGATGAGGACAGGATATTTTCACAGTGTCAGAATAACTTCATCCCCCAAAATATTAATGACAGAAAAGGAACTTTACAGTGGAAAGGCTAGTAGACACCACCTCAACCAAGTGGTTGAATTTAACATCACCAGTGAGAGGACAAATCAAAATCATGCTTCATCCGGTAGGAGGCAGGGAAAACAACACAGCACCATTCCAGTGATATTCCTGCCAAAAATACATAGCCTAGATTTAATCAGGAGGGATCAATCTTCGAACAAATCAAATGGAGGGACATTCTACAGAATAACTGGCCTATTCACTTCAAAGACTTCAAGGTTGTGAAAGTCAAGGAAAGACTGGAAGACTGTTCCAGACTGAAGAAAACAAAGGAGATATGGAACTAAATGAAAATGATTTTGAACTAGATCCTTTTT